TTTTAATCATCCCTTTGTTCATACACGAAGGATGCAAAGGGGTGGATTTAAATCTGGTGCAAAGAGAACCCATTTTCCATACCAAGGGAAGATGAAAATCCTGCTGGCTTCAGAGCTTGGTCAATTCTCACAACCCCAATTTTACATCCCTAAGGAAGGACTAGGAATTTTATTTTATAAGGTTCTCACTGAGGGCTTATCCACACTTACCCATGCTTTCTAGACAAAAAGTCCACAATTTCCCAGTCCGTGTCCAAGAGCTTTTCCCCGCCACTTTCCCCAGGGAAACTCGTTCTTGACCGCTGAATCAGAACAAACAGCAATTTGTCCCCCCCCCCGAGGTTGCCATTCACTCCAATTCAGTGGTAAAGAACAGGTTTTAATGGGGAAAGTGGTGTGTGTGTGTAAAAAAGTACTTGGACATGGACATGGAAATTCCAGACTTGTGCCTAGAAATTGTGGGGCAAACCCTTAGTGTGGATGAACCCTGAGTTTTGCACCCAGATATAATCATGCAGTTGTGTTGAGTCCTTGAAACAACATCATGAATTTCATCTGGAATGTTTATAACTGAACAGACACTGAAGCACTTATGCACTGGCTACCTAATTATACTCCCAGCACACACTGATAAAACCCAAGTCTTCTTCAGAGTTCATCCAGAGTAATTGGATTAATTTCCTAGACATTTGTTGTTGTTGCTGCTGCTGCTTGATCCATACTGCAGATTCAGTAAAGTGTGCATGACATGAGCTAGTGACATCATTTCTCTGTCTGGGGACATAGGAACCTTGTTCATTCCTTGCCGTGGCATCACTGCGGACTTCCCAGAGGGATGCAGATATGGTGCATGGAAGGCTGTGAGCAGGTTCTGCACTTCCTATCCTGCTGCCTGCATTTAGGGAAACAGAGAGGAGTACATAATGTAATGTGAAAGTTGGAGTGAGGTTTTGGGAATCCCACAGCAAGGACTGGAACAATGGCCAGCCCATTTTGGATTGGGCTAGATTCCGGGGGGTTCTGGCACCCAACACAGAATGGAACTGCAGGGAACAGACTTGAAATCTGAATTCCCTACTGTTTTGAACTGTGCCCAAATTATGAGAAGTGAAGGGAAAATCATGTTTGTGACGATCTGACAGTGTTCGTGATTTCTCTCCTACACTTCCAAATATTGCAGACTTTCAGCAGGCCATTACTTGATATAAATATTTCCCTTACTTTTTCTCCTTAGAGACAGAGATATAGTAGCAATCAGCACTGGATGAGTTATTTCGCTATCCCCAGTGGCAGCTGTTACCAGATGTTTACATGTTTTGAAATGTCAAATGTTGATCTCAGAATCATTCAATCTCTCTTTTAAAAAGTGTCATTTTGTAAGTAATGTTTTTATTGGTGGGGGAGGTTAATACACAATTTCTCTCTTGACATTTAACCTCTTCCCGACTGCATGTATCTGTTGACAGCAGTTGTCATTTTAAGCAATGTGCCATTAACATTTACCAGGGGCATCAAGCCCACCTCCTTCTTTGCTGCCTACCTGCACCATAACATGAAGCGCCAGACAAAAAAAATGACTGCTGGGTGCATAAGCATTGTGCGATTCCATTCCCCTTCAATCATTCTTTGATCAAGTCTTTGCAGTCACAGGGTGATGAAGTCAAAGCCTACTGCTCTAGAATCCACCCATGTTCTTCCTGCTTGAAAAAGAAGGCAACAATTCTAACATGAACAGCAAGCAATTTTTGTGCAGAACTGTGAAGATGGGACAATCTGATTTTGCAGCCAGTGATGGAAAAGTGGTCATACACTCTTGCTGCAGGAGAAGGCCCTGGGGGTTGGAGAAGATTGACACCTGCTAAGAAGGGTATTGCATGGGATGAATGGGGGTGATGGTTTCCTCTATATCTCCCTATCTGCTCTTTAAGCTGATTTGCAGTAGCTGGCTGCCCTTCACAAGTGCCTAAGAATGAGGGGTGTATGGATCTGCCGATCTGAGCTTCTCTTAGTTTCTCATTTTTCCAATCTTCACTTTTCCCCATTTCTGCAGTAATTTGTAATTTCTTTTTTTAAAAAAATCTCCTCCTAAAAAGTTGCCAGAATTTCAGTTATCATAGATTCCGGCGTATAAGATGACTATTTAACCCCGGAAAAGGGATGAAAAGGTTGGGGGTCGTCTTATACGCCGGGTATGGGCGGCATGGAGCGGAGCCCACCCACTGCTGCTTCGGAAGCAGCAGCATCTGGCAGCAGGCTCCGCTCCGCGCTGGGCGTCTTTCTCCCGGCACGGAGCTGCCCAGCGTGACTGGGCTTATAAGACGAACCCCCAAATTGCAGCTGCCAATTTGGGGGGTTGTCTAATACGCCCAGTCGCCTAATACGCCGGAATCTACGGTATTTTTTTCCTAATAAAAACATTTTATGTAGTTTTGATTAATAGACACATTTTGCAAATGATTCCCCCTAATAAAACACAGTTTTGTATGTAATTTTCACATATACATTTTTATGCATGCTATCCCCCAAAAAATATTCATTTTTGTACATATTGCAAAATTCAGAGAAATGCACATTTTGAAAGATTGCTGTGCGTCAGCTCACATATTGATTCTAGTGTCAGTTAGGTAGTTTCTCATTAAAAAGCAAACAAAATTGAGCCTCTTCATCCCTACTTAGGATTGTATGGACTACCTCTGAATTGAGCACTACACCACTCTGGCGCTTGAGATACAATACCCAAAGTTCAATCCCTCTCATTTGCAATTAAAGATAGTACAGTGGTACCTCGGGTTAAGTACTTAATTCGTTCCAGAGGTCCGTACTTAACCTGAAACTGTTCTTAACCTGAAGCACCACTTTAGCTAATGCTGCCATTGCGCCGCTGGAGCACGATTTCTGTTCTCATCCTGAAGCAAAGTTCTTCACCTGAAGCACTATTTCTGGGTTAGTGGAGTATGTAACCTGAAGCGTATGTAACCTGAAGCATACGTAACCCGAGGTACCACTGTAATGGGCAAGCTCCTGTAGGTGCGACTTGGAATTGAGCAGGGCAAGCCATGGGGAACCAGGGGAAATACGGTTTCAAGGATGCCTGGTGCCCATAGTAATGATTTGTGAGTCCTGGAGAACTACATTTCCCTTCTGTCTGGGATACTGCCTTGGCAACATTCAGTGCCCTAAACGTGAAGAGAGTAATGGAGACTTCATAGAGTCAAGTGTGAGACCAAGTTAGTTTGCTGCCTGAGGCAAGGGAGAGAATGGCATCCACTGTCATTCCATGTACAAAAGGTGACCAAGGAGGCAGTTCATTCTTACGTAAGCATTGCTAACGGGAGAGTGCCCTCTACCCACCTCAGTGCCCGGGCTAACTTCAGGGGCATAGGTAAAGCCACAATACACCTATAGCTCTGCCCCTCAGCATTTGTGGCTGCCTCATGGTAGGGTAAGCCCTGGCAGGGAGGTCCTTAGCGACACCTTCCCATGCAAAGGCAGGGAGTTGGGTCCTGGTGAAGTTGTTATGAATGAGGGTCAAGCTCAGTTGAAGATAGAGTCAGCTCATAAATTTCTCTCTCTCTCTCTCTCTCTCTCTCTCTCTCTCTCTCACACACACACACACACGCATTTGCCATTAAGAGCCCCCAATTCTGAACCATGACTAGCTGAGGAAGAACCACATGGTTACAGAAGTTCCCAGACTCCATCCCTAGCACCTCCAGGTACAGCTGAAAATTTTCCCTGAAACCATGGTGACATAATATTGCGCTAGATGGACCAATGATCTGACTTGCTGTAAGGAAGCTTCCTATAGCCCTCTAGGATGGGGAGGCCATTTTCTCCAGCAACCACATATCTGCTGCATCATGCACCCTAACCCTTTTGTTTAGGTCGGGACCATTAGCCAATATGGTCCTCTCCAGATGTTTGAGACTACAATTCTCATCAGCCCCAGACAGCATGGACAGTAATCAGGAGTTCACATGAGTTGTAGTGTGCAGCATGTAGAGAACACCATGACAATTACCCATGACACCATGACAATTAAGTGCAAGAGGAATAGGTGGTGGACAAGAAGGCACATCTGTGGGGAATGCCAATCTCCAGCTGAATGACATAAGTTGTGTATTTTTTTACTGAAACACACACAAAAAACCATTGCTTGGGCAGCCATTTACGAAATTCAGAAAGGCAAGGACTGAGAAGAATTTCTGTGTTGCCTTGAAACAGAGGGAAGCTAAGTACATCACCTTGAGTTTCTTTGCACCGTGTCACAGTGTGTTGCATGCTTTTGTGCTGCTTGCAGACAGCCCAACACATCAAGTCAGACAGCCTCTTATTATTAAATCTGTTTGCAAATGTGCTGAGATTGCCCTTCCCATATGCCCTTACTTATGAGTGGTGGCAGACTGTGGCTGTGAATCACAGGCCTCCATATACATCAGTTCTCTAATGCCCTTACTTGTTCCTTTTCCTTAACTAAGATTGTCATTTGCAAGGGACTTCATGAAGAATCACACCAGTTAGTGGCTGTGTTTGCTTGCGTCTTCGATATACAAGAACAGCAGCCGTGAAATTTTATAAGACATTGCAGGACACCAGTGCCGAAAACCTGTTTGGACATTTAAAGCAGAACATAAAGGAGGAGAGACAATGGTTTCTGCCAATCTCCCAGATGCTCAGAAAATCTTCCAGATGCTCAGAAAATCAATCCAGAATTCGAACTAGGTGAATACGAGCATCTTAGTCATTAGCATATGGTGATGACTTCATTGGTGTATTTCAGGCTCTGGAAGCCTAACAGGGTCTGACCCCAGTCTCGGAATGAGAGCATTCCCCCTTTTCTGTTCTCTTATACTATCCTTGTATTACTTCTCTCATCACAGGATATATTTTTGTATAAACCAGAGGTGAGGAAATTCAGGAACGAGAGCCAAATATTGCTCTCCAGACCAGTAGCCAACAGTGGGGAACACACCTGACCTTCCAGCAGCTTAGTTGCTGCTGGATAGCTCAGTTGGTTAGAGTGTGGTGCTAATGCCAAGGTTGCAGGTTCGATCCCCGTATGGGACAACTGCATATTCCTGCATTGCAGGAGATGGGACTAGATGATCCTCAGGGTCCCTTCATTTATATGATTCTTACTGGCAAGGAGAGAGGGAAGGGGCAAGGCAGTGGGGAGGTCAGCATGCGGCAAACACAGCAGCAGGAACCAGTCAGGTGCTCCTGCCTGTTGTACTTACACAATGCTAACCTCCCCGCTGCCTTGTCTCTACTCCTCCTTTCCTTCCAGCTATAATCATCAGCTACTCAGCAACTGAGAAGACAGGTGAGTGCCACTGCCCTACCACTCTGGAGGGCCAAAGTGCAACAGAATGCTGACATTTCAAGAAAGTCATTGTAAATAACCATAATACCAATGGATAAATTAACAATAGCTAAACAGCAATAGCAGCTTCACTCTGTTTTTTGTAAGAGACTGGAATGTTTGTATTATGCGATTGTTCTCAACACATGCCTTGTCCCACTTAATGCTCTGTCTGCTTCTGACCCACCGTCAACAGAACGCTCAGCTGTGTAGGTGTGTTTGCCCTTGATTTGTATAATAGTTATATAATGTAAGCATTGTTTTCTTTCACTCCCCTAATGCACAACTACTGCCTCTTTGATCATTGTCCTGCTGTTTACAGTTTTCCAGAGAGCTGCATACCTCAGTGACACCTAGATGATAATTTCTGGGTACTTGCCGGTTAAATTTGACTTACCCCATCAATACAAATAAAGGAAACTGCTTCTCCTAGTGCACACCTTACCTTGTACTTACCTGACCCTGAATTTTGTCTGCTCATTGAAATTTCAGTTATTCTGAATTTCCCCTCGATTCTTTTATCTAAGCAAATATTATTGCATCATCTGTAAATACTGAGTTGTAGATGGATTTCTAAAGTTTCTGTTCAAGTGAGTAGTGTTCTAAAGATGAACTCAGGGAACATGGTATCCTAAGGATCCTAACAAGTAATTGGGAATGTGGCAAAAGAAGCAGCTGTTCTGATCCAAGGGCAAGAGAGATCCAGCTGATTGCTGTGCTTATGTGGTGTTCTACTGTACTTTCTAATTTTGCATGGAAAAAGCAACAACTGTTTGTCTAGTGGAAATACTGCTACCTTTTGGTACAGTAAATATAAGCTTAAACATGCTCTCTCTCCTATTGTATCCCCGCCATTCATGCTCCCTTTTTTAAGCTTTAGCACTAAGAAATGCAGGCATGTAGGTTCGATGCAACCAAGTTAAATGTTCTGAAATCATCTAGCTTTTCAGTGTTATTATGATTGGCCATTCTCCTCCCAGAGCACAGAATAGTTTAGTAAACTGATGTTTATGATGGTGCAATTACACCTTTCCATTGTCTTTATCAGAAGAAAATAGGTTGCCAATTTTCACTGCCTGGGCAAGCTCCTTTGAAGCATCTTTGCCCTTCATGTGGATCATGGACGAGTCACAGTGTTAAAAAATTCACAAGAACAAACAATCACACAGTATGATTCAGTTGGTGTTACACATCATTATGAACTGACATGAATTTATTGGTCCACTTACCATCATGGTGTGGTGGTGTTGTGGCCTGGTGCTGGCACCAAATGTCACAATCCACTACAGACTAGAGGCGCTGGGCCTCCAAGCCAGTAAGGACACCTAGCTGCTCGTCTTGCTGGCCAGGGCATCAAATTCAGGCTTGCACACAGATTGGCCAATGGTGGACAGGTCTGGAGGCAGCAGCTCTCTGGGGGTGGGCCCAATGGAGCATGCAGGCTTCCCTTGGGGCCACTCCCTGGGTATAAAAACCAACCTACCCAGGTCCAGTGCTCTTTGCCAAATTTCCCTCCGTTCCGCCCTTTGTTTTAAACTTCTTTTAAGCTTTAATTTTTGCTTGTCCTTGCTGTGGACTTCATTGACCACCATAGTCAGGGCCAGGCTGGAATTTCTCCACAGGTCACTGGACTCCGGTCTGGTGGTTTTGACTAACGCATGGCATTCGTCACATCTTTGGGGGTTTAGGCTTTGGGTAAGCTTAAGTCTTGACTTGAGGGGAGGTTGTAGCTCTGCCTGCCCTTCCAAGAAAAAGGGCATCTTACTAAAGGGATCTGTGAGAAGTTGCTTCTGTTCAGATGCCCAGGTGGGGTCTAGGGCCATGGCACTCCTCAAGACAGCCATCCTATGTGGGTGTTCCTATTTGATGTAAGTCATAGGACTCCCCTGCTGTCAGATCGACTTCTGGTAGGCAGGCTGGAAGTCAATGGTTGTACTCAGTGCCTATGCCAAACCTCTGACATCTGTAATCAATAAAGTTGTGGCCTTGTTTGAGCCCAGAGCATTGTGTTATGTCTGCCTATTACTACAGAGACAGGGCGACAGGTGGCTGACACCTTGGCATGCAATCCTTAGAACCCTATAATGTTGAACAGTATTATTATCTCCATATTGCAGATAGGTGCATGTGGCAGACAGAAGAGTTATTTGCAGGAGGCCACTTGGTGGGTTCATGGCGGAGGTCTCCCCCCCCCTTTTTAAACAGAGGCCTTTTTATTCTTAGTTCAAACTATTTATATAGCACATGGTCAATTTATTTTTTTACTTTTTTAGTAGTGTATTATTATATTGTTGCAGTCTGCCTTATGATGACCTTATGGTGAAGGACAGATAAGAAATCCCATGAATAAATAAAACAACAAATGAATCCTGTAGATTTGCAAGTCATTAAGAACCATAATTCTTCTCAGACAACAACCAGTACATAAAGAAACCACAAAGTTTCTCCAGAGGCATTCATAATCGTCTTGACCATTGTGTGCCTGTGTGCGTGGTGCAGACTTTTAAGGGGTTCTTGAATTAAAAACACTGTCACAAAAATTACCAGAAACATACATTTCCAGTTCCACAAGGGTGCTCGAGCTGGTTAAATGTCACTAGGAAAAATAAGGCTTATGAAAACCCCCAGTGTGAAGTCGCTGAGGATTTTAGCCTTACCAAAATAGCCATGATGACAAATCACCCAGGTAAAAATGCATCTCAGCTGAATCCTCCCTGGGCCACATAAATCAAAAGTTCATTATTTGGAGTGTTTCATTTTTATTTTTATGGATCTATTTACATTTTATGGAACCATCTGGTCCTCCTAGTCAATTAAACACACACACACCCAAAAAACCACCACCAGCAAGAACAACGACTCAGCTTTGTTTTTTCAGAATTTGGCAGGGGCTGGGAGAGAGCCAGTGCTGTAGTAAGCGAGAAGACACAAGTGTTTGGATTGGAGTGGAAGACAATCTAATAGTTTGAAATGGAGCATCTATAGGTTTCTGGGCATGAAGCTATAACAATGTGGTGGTAGTGGGCGGGGGAGAGAAGCCCATGGAGCAAAGCCTCATCAATCTGTTGGTTGGCCATCCCTGATTTCAGTTTAGTGTATCCCTCCCTGCAGGCTGTTTGTATCGGTTTATTGGCAATGCTCAAGTCCAGCAAATTTCCTTTGGCGCCTCCACCTCTGGGATTATCTGAAGTCCAGGGGCCTCCAGTAAGCCATTATGGAGTCAGCAGTGACAGCTTGAAAAATGGCTGAACAAGAGAACAAATGCCCTTTGTGGCAGGCAGTGTAATGAGTTGCTCCAGGACATTGTGGTCTGCAGCCAATCCCATATGCAGCAGCAGCATCCCAAAGGGTCGTAGTAATGGTGTGAACTGTGTAAGCCAGCACATTTTCCTTTCCTTTCCTTCTCTTCCTCCTCTTCCTCCTCCACAATCATTGTATTAGCTTCTGTAAAGTCCAGATGAATTATTCCCATTAGCGTGGTAGTACGGGGTGTGTGGAGCTCAAATTGGGATCTGTGCAACTTTGTTACTTACTTGGACCGAGACTCTTATACTACCTTCCAGCCAGCAGAATCAGAGCAGCTGCAAGGTTATCGAAAGTTGGACTTTCACATTTTCAATTTCACTGCTTTGAGGGAGAAGAGGAGAAGGATTTTTGCAAAGGAATTGCCTGCTGCCTTCTCCCCAACTCTCTCCCACTCCAGGGCTAATGGCATGAAAAACAGGAGTTGTTTGTGGACCGAATTATCTCTGACAATAACATGAGCTGCTTCTTTTTTCTTTTTACCCAGAGAGTCGGCCAGGTCTGGCCATCTCACATAGGCTGTTAATAGTGGACTCAGGTTTGGTTTATTTAGCTTTGCAAGATGGCCATTGCTGGTTTCAGTGGCTTGACATTGCATAGGTTAGCATGCAACTCTCTGCCTTCTGTGTTCTCCAGCATGGCAGACATTAGGAAGAAAAACCATGTGTATATCAGTGTGCTCTGTTATGTTTTCCTGAGAGCCTCAGGTGTCTTAATAATCAGCCAACAGAAACATCTTTTCTGCCGAAGACAAAACTAGTTCTTCATAACCAGTCCCAACGATTCCCTGCAGAATTGAAGAAGACGAAACGGAACTTTTATTGATTCTGCTGGATAATAACAGCCCTGTTTTCCTCTGTAAAATGTTCCCACTGCACTGCATATCCCCCTGCCCCCTTACTATCTCCGAAAGCCCAGAATGCAGTTCTGATGTTGTGTCAAACTCATTGGGAACTCTTTTCCTGCCTCACAAGGAGATTCTAATTACCGGTAATAACAGCATGGGGTTTTGAGATCAGAGGGGCAGATACTACAGCAATATGATAGTCTTTGGTTGCATCCACACTCTGCATTTAAAGCACTATGATAACACTTTAATAGTCATGGCTTTCCCCCAAAGAATTCTGGGAGCTGTAGTTTGTGAAGGGTGGTGAGAGTTGCTAGGAGACCACTATCCCCTTCCTAGAGCTCAGAATGCTCTAGGAATGCTCAATCCTTCTTCACAGGGAACTCTGTGAATTGTAGTTCTCTGAGGGGATTGGGGGGTGTCTCCTAACAACTCTCAGCACCTTAAACAACTACATTTCCCAGGATTCTTTGGGGGAAGTCATGACTCTTAAAGTGGTATCATTGTGCTTTAAATGTATATTGTGGATTTAGCCCTTCTAGCCTCTTTCAAATGTGCAGCAACCTCTCCAATCGCCCTTCACCCGCACAGGTTGTAACCCAATGCTTTCCCAACAGCAATGTGGGGAGGGCTGCCAAGCATCTGAACTGGGCCTCTCATGAATGGTTATTTGGAACTCACAAAAACTGGGAGGTGAGCCAGTTTGCACAGCCCCCAAAGGGCTGGTTTGCTCATTCTCTCCCCTTCCCCAGATTCTCTACGAAAGGGATGCTGTGGAACTGCTAT